ATGTTTTTTTTCCCTCATTTGAATTGGATTTGCTTTTAGAGGGATTATATTTGCACAATCAGTTTTTCCTCTGTCTTTTCCAATTCTCTTAACACTTTTATATACCAAATTTTGGTTGCATAGCTTTCTCTTTTCTTTTTGTTTGTGCTTGTGTATTCTTCTAAGCAAATACTGTGTGTTTGTGTATTATGAGCCAATTGCCATGCTGGTTTTGGTTAGATAGCCCAAGCAAGCATCGATGATATCCTTTTCCCTGAGGATGGAATTGTAGTTAGTTTCCATGCTGGTTTTGGTTAGATTGTCCAAGCAAGCATCAATGCTATCCTTTTCCCTGAGGAGAGAATTGTGGTTATTTTTTAACCACTAAGAGAAGTACCTCAGGCTGGTTGAAGTAGTAATTACATAATGTCTATTTCATGGGGATCTGTAAACCAGCCTAAATCCGGTCTGACAAATAATCAAGCAACAAATACTACTTTTTGTGGTCCAAATGGTTTATTTGAGGAACTATTCACTGCTTAGTCTTTGATGGCTAATTTTTGTGTTTCTATGTTGATGTATACCGACCTTACATGAATAGACTTGTTCTTGATTAACCAGTTAGTGTACCTTCCTGGTTTTTCCTTTTTTTTTTTTATGAAATTTTACCCATGTTATTAAGTCAGTCCATCAGGTTGTCTTCGGCACCTAATTTTACAGATGTAATGAAGAATATAGTGTTGATAAATTTGTTTTGGCAGGGGGATCATGTTGAAGAATTTCAACCACTTTGTGAAGTTCAGAGTGATAAAGCAACCATAGAAATAACAAGTCGGTACACAGGAAAAGTTTCCCGAGTTCTCCATGTTCCTGGTGACATTGTGAAGGTAACATCAAAATTGTTTGAAGTGAAACCTTGAGTTCGTTATTCAACACTAGATAGGTTCAGGATTAGAATGTAGGACAACAAATCCGGAAACTTGGCAATGACCATAATGCTAATCATGAATCAGAAATTAGTTTGAATAATTTACTGATCTTATAAAATCCATGCGCAAAGTGTAGGAACACAATTGGATAGGTTTCATTAAAAAATTTGGATAGATTTAATCAATTTCATTGGACAGAAAAGTTAGATGGTGGATTCATTTCCAGTTTCCCTATCAAAAGATAGGAAAAGGAAAGTTTAGAGACATTCCTTTGGTTTCTGAACTATCCTGTTCTTCTTTATGCACATTTTGGAAAAGTATAGTCCTTTAGCTTGACATGAAATGTAATGACTTCCAAGGTCATTCGTACTGCAGGTTGGAGAAACTCTCCTGAAGATCGTTGTTGGTGAATCTCCTCTTCCAACTCAGATTTTGGATGCTCTGGACCATACAAAGTCGCTGGGTTCTGATATGGGGGACGCAGATTGTCAAAGTTCAGTACCTAGAAAGTCGGAAATAGGTGGAGTTCTATCTACGCCTGCTGTTCGTAACCTTGCAAAGCTATATGGCATAAATATAAATGATGTCTGTGGAACTGGTAAGGATGGGAGGGTATTAAAAGAAGACATCCTCCAATTTGGATCCAACAAAGGAATTCTCAAGGAAACTCCAGTGTCCTCTAGGGCTACTTTTCCGGACCAATTGCTTGGAGGAGAAGGGGAATATGAAGATAAGGCAATTCCTCTGAGGTATATTGATATAAACATGAAATTCCAATGCATTACTTAGATTATGACTCTTTGCCACATGAGCTGCTTCATGTCAAACGCGGTTTATCCCTACATAAACACTGATGACGAATTTAACATCTTAGTTGCATGGGGTATCCTCATTCTAATAATGCTATTTTTAGAAGTAGGAAATGAAGTTATCTGCAAAGGGTTCCCTCAGAATGTTGCCTCTGATGACATCTAGATGACCATCTAATTGGATTTTTTAATTTCGGTTTTATGGAAGGTTGACCTTAAGTTAAATCTTACTTTTGTATTAGTAAATTAGTAAGGAAGATTGACTTTGTGTAATGCATACGTCATGCAATGAACAGAGAGTGTCCTCTGGTAGTGTGACTGGCTGCCTACATGCTTTAACTTTAGGTCAGAGAACACTTTTAAATTCGCAGTTCAGTTCCTGTGGTGGAATTGTCTAATACACACCTTTACTAAAGATATGAATGATGCTAATTTGCTTGGAAAATGTGTTAGTGGTGGTTGATTGTGAGATTCCCACTTTTGCACAGCAAAGATATGAATGATGTAAATGAGTTACTCTTTTTTTTAATAAATGAGTTACTGAAATCTGCTGTTACTGTTGGAAATTTTCTGGTTGCATTTGAGGACAGTCGTGCCACAGTGGAGTGGTAAATTATGGCCTGTCATATTTTTTCACTTTTTATGTTTTGTCCCTGTTTCTTTTAGTGACCGGGACGCTATTAGGGATATCTTGAGTGTCACGACCCAAAACCACCTTCTCCTTAGGTTATGGAGCATGACTGCTGTGGAGGCCAACATGGAACCAAATGTGTTGTCACCTATTTACGTTTTATGATTTACATCTATGATTACATTTGATTTATTTGCAATAATACCACAATAATATATATAAATACCCTATACAGTTAGATTTAATCAGAGCAAACCTACCCATATCTTGTTAACAACATAGTTGTTGCAACTTATAACATAAGTCTGCCATTTATACAAAGCATGACCTCTACATACCAAAAAAGACTTTCCAAAAAATTCATTCACAACTTCTATTCACAACATCCAAATGTTGTGTAGTATACATTGAAATTGCCCCAAGCATAGTCAGTCCCCTACACCTTAAAAGGTTTTAGAAAGAAAGAGTGGGCAATGCCCGTAAAGGTTTTCAAATAAAACATGTAACATTTCTAGGTATATCAACATACATGTCAAATAGCATCATATGATTTTCAGGATAAGTTTATGGATCTAATGTCAAAGATATAATCATGTATCATGTCATGTCATCAAGCCATTGTCATCACGTCCTACTTATTTTGAGCTCTCCAGATTTGATTCCACCGGATTAGATTTATACCAGATTTAAGTCAACTGGCTTGGACATTTATCGGATTTGAGTCCCCCGATTGGGTTCTATTATGGCGTTGGGACTTAATACGTAGACATTTTTCAAGTCATTTAATAATCCAGGGAATCAAAATTGGGCAATCAGCACATANTCGGATTTGAGTCCCCCGATTGGGTTCTATTATGGCGTTGGGACTTAATACGTAGACGTTTTTCAAGTCATGTAATAATCTAGGGAATCAAAATTGGGCAATCAGCACATAATTTCTCAAATTTGGTTATGCTAGCATTTCAAAAAGACATAGGCATCAAAATTTCATTCTAAAGTATAAGATTAGTCACCTTAGTTCTTAACTGGGCAATATAACTCTTGATTCCCTTTAACAAGTTCTATACATATTTCATACACATTACTTTCATCCCGCAGTGCCTACTTCTTATATATTCCCACTTCATAAGTACTTGTTATGTTGACTATTGATCTCTAATGATTGTCATCATGTACTTATTATTCCTCTTTCTTCTCACTCCAAATAAGAGGAGAGACATTAATTTCTGTCATTTAAACCTCTTGGTCAATACATCCAATGTTTCCGTTTAATCCCATTTAAATTTTCTATTTATGCATTATTCCAAAAGATGCAAGATTAGACATTTGTACTTAAAAAGCTTCATAACATAAAGTTATACAAGCTGAAACTTCACAAGGCCAGTGGCAAACAAAAGTAAACTTAAAGAACTTCATTTCCATCCAAAATTGCTATTTTTGGAGATCAAATATATGTTCTAAATAAATTATAAACTGAACATAAGCTATAAATCTACGGGTTTCAGCGGGTCAGGACTAACTTTAGAAATTTCCCAAAATTCAAGTTTTCATCCTTTTTGCATCAAATCAAAGCCAAAAGAACCATTTGATAATCTACTACTAACCCTAAAAGTTTAAGAATCATCAATTGATTGTAACTCATATATATCCCAAAATCACTGGCTGTCTTGAATTTCTAGAATTTCTAAAAAGTGTTTAAACTAAATTATTAGCAACTACGAAGTTCATATCATGTGAAATACTCGTAGCTTTGTAATTAGACTAACTAGAGCATGATTTCTTTGTTAATTCTCAATTCATGATTGTTATTATTAACTAATTCTTTCTGATTAAAGTAAAGAATACTACTTACTTAAAACAATCATACCTTGTTGGGGAGATTCCAAGCCCTAAGTCACTTGCTTGAATTTTTTCCTCTCTTTTCTTCCTCTTTTTCTCTTCCTCTTCTTTCATTCTCCACACAAGCTCCTCTTTTCTCTTTCTTTAATTACAATATATATATAGTTACAAGACACATATATATACATATATATGAGACACCTGTAGTTCTTATGGCTTTCTCTCTCTTACTCTACACAAGTACACACCTCTTAGAAAAGTCAACAATGGTAGCTTGATTAGCTAGGCTAATCTTTTAATTAGGCACTTTTAAACTCGATTAACTTTAGTTAATCCATACTTAACATTTTGTTTATATAGTTGTATACCCTCTCAAAGTTTGGATACCAACATAGACAAAATACCAAACCCAAAGAACTATCAAAACATCATACCATGCATATGTATAAAGTACAACATTAATCAGGTTTATGACATTGAGGTCAATATTGCTGACTTTCTCATTTTTTGTATATATCTGGTTTTATCAGGTAGAAATTGCTTACCTCCATGAAATTTCACTGGGTGGAAAAACTGTAGGGTACATCGGCTTCGATCATTGGCCCAACCAATCTCACATGAGGGATGGGGAACCATCCTTCTAGACAATTTACTCTACCGACTTACCAATTTTAATGTCCATTGACTTATTATTTTGTTATTTTTGTTTTTTCTGATATTTTATTGTAGAATGTTAAGAGAATTATATTTGAATTTGATAAAATTCAAAGAGGTTACATAAATGATGACACATAACAGAAGTTATACTTTTGCAGGGGATTCCAGCGTGCGATGGTCAAATCAATGACCTTGGCTGCAAAGATTCCACATTTTCATTATGTAGAAGAGATAAATTGTGATGCACTTGTGGGGCTTAAAGCTTCTTTTCAAAATGCAAATTCTGATCCAGATGTCAAGCACACTTTTCTTCCAGTCTTGATAAAGTCGCTCTCATTGGCATTGAGTAGACATCCGTTGCTAAACGGTTCCTTCAATGAGGAATTGCATGAGGTCACCTTTAAAGGTCTATATCGTTCAGTTTTGTGCAGTAGTTGCTTTTATGACTCTAACTGGTTATTTTTAGGCCTTAGAACAAGTTCAATATATATATATTAAAAATTAGCTGAGTACATGCATCACCTATGTGGGGAAAAGGTTGTGTATGTCTGACCCTTGTCCAACCCTGCAGTGATGGGAGACTTGTGCACTGGGCCTCTTTTACATGCATCACATGTGTATCGATATAGCTTATTTCTTCTTCTTTTGACTTTATAAGTTGCATCTCTATGCTTTTGGCATGCTTAGTTAATTCTTGGCTTTTGTATTCTCCACCATTCTTCGGATGATGAAGGTAAAGAATCAGAGATCTTACTCTCTGCTATCAATCTTAGGGATTATTTTATCATTCAATGAGGGGTGATATGTTTGTTGAGGAAGTTGTTCTACAGAAGTTCCAAACAGCAGCCAAAGTTGTATGGTTACAGCAAAAAAGTAACATGACTATAGCCTTTTATCCTGTCAAGATCCACTGGATTGATATTCTCTTAGTTGGAGGGGAACCATTGCTTGGAGTTTTATGTGCCTTCTCTTCAATTATGATGTCGGAATTGTTGTCTGTTTACTTATTCTGGTGCAAGTTATTTGTTTCTGTGTTTGATAACTATTTTCTCGAAGTATGTCTTTAAAAATTTGTACTTAAACTCTGCTTTCATGGGGTTGTCTTTCCATGATTTTGGGCCACATATCCTCAATTTTGTAGTTTCCATCAGTTTGGTCACCACTTCTTTGGCAGTCAGCGAGCCAACTTTTAAAATCATTGAATTACCTTTTTTGCGAGTGTTTAATATAGGCTTGTTGGTTTTTATGGAAAACACAAAGAACTCAGTGGTGGCCTTATATGAAAACCTTTTAAAACCCAATAGAATATTTATTAAATTTTTGTTTGGAAGACTCAAAAAGTCCACATATCAAATGTTATTTATTATTGATAGTTCTGCTCAGTTCAAAACTAGTGCTAGTTCNAATAGAATATTTATTAAATTTTTGTTTGGAAGACTCAAAAAGTCCACATATCAAATGCTATTTATTATTGATAGTTCTGCTCAGTTCAAAACTAGTGCTAGTTCATTTTTATGGATAACTTGAGATGCTTATTTTTATCTGTTTTGTTTCCCAATAAGAAACAACTTTTACTCATAACAAGTAAAAAGGCATTACAAAAAATCATCAAAAAGACATATGAAAGGTGGACAAGTCGTCCAACCCAATGATAGATCAAATACAAAATCTACAAAACACAGCTATAAACTAAAAGGCCATATGACAATCCACATGATGCTCTCCAGTTTCTAAGTTTGTATACGATACTGCTTCCCGTTGTCGCTCATAGGATGCAACTCCTAATCATAATTTCTGCTAATTGTCATAGGCTCCCACAATATTGGAATTGCCATGGCTACATCATATGGTTTAGTTGTACCAAACATAAAGAAGGTTCAGTCACTTTCGATCTTGGAGGTTGGTTATAACTTCTGATCTCCATGGTTTAGTGTTTTGTTCTTATTTTTGATCATTTTATGCTTAAGTAGTAGTTGTTGTCATCTTGTTGTTTTGTTCTTATAATCACTACTAGTAGTACTACTGCTACTACTGTGCATAACTATTAATTATTTTCAGGTATCACCCTGGATTTCCTATAAAAAAAGGCTTTTACGTGATTTAATCTTCTTTTCATGTCTTTAGATAACAAAGGAACTGTCTCGGCTACATCAGTTGGCTTCAGCTAACAAGCTTACTCCTGATGATATATCTGGTGGAACCATAACTTTGAGCAATATTGGAGCAATTGGTGGAAAGTTTGGATCGCCCCTCGTCAATTTGCCTGAAGTTGCCATCATTGCAATTGGCCGAATCCAGAAAGTTCCTCATTTTGCTGATGAGGGAAATGTGTATCCAGTGTCAGTCATGACTGTAAGTACAGATTGGTCAAATCCGAAGCATACATACTTTAGTCTAATATAGTGTTATTTCCTACTTTGTTCTGCTGCATAATGACTTGTTGCTTCAGTCATTTTGCCATCAATAATGGGATAATATGGTTGATTCATTGCTTAAAGTCCTCTCAGCAGGGCTAAAGTGCTGATATGTCATCATCATGATGTCAGTGATAACTGGATGGTCTGAATGAAGATCTCTCTCTCTCTCTCTCACACACACACACATGGTATTTTATACCCGTTTCAAACACTTCTTAGGTAGCCAATAAATTATGAGCAATACTACATAGACTTAAAAAGTAGATTTGATAATTATAACTATTGATTTCACTGTGGGTCCCAACATTTATTGGGACTTACTACCAATTCAATGGTTGTGATTATCAAGTCTATTTTTTAAGTCCATATAGCATTACTCGTAAATTATTGGGTGTACTCCTAGTGGTTTCAGTACCTACAAGATCATTGAGTACCGTTTTAAGAGTATGTTCTTAAATTCCAGTCTATTCCTTTTTTCAGTAGCTACTACCCTCNTACTCCTAGTGGTTTCAGTACCTACAAGATCATTGAGTACCGTTTTAAGAGTATGTTCTTAAATTCCAGTCTATTCCTTTTTTCAGTAGCTACTACCCTCTTTTTGGTTGGTACTGCAGTAGCCCTTATTCGCAGCCAGATAAATGAATCAACGTGCCAAAAAAATTAGATGGAGTCTTACATATGAGATGGTGGCTTGGAGTATGAGATGTTGCATTTATTCTTGTTGCGTAATATGATGTTGCAAGAGGGTTTGCTCGATAATTTTTATTTTCTAATTCTCCCAAATAACTTCCATTAAGGTTGTTACTTATTGCAAGAAATGTAACCGTTGCCTGGCCCAGTTACTGTATGCCCAGTCGACCCAAACTTCTGTGTAATCATTATAACTTGTTAACCATTAAAGTTCTTGACTTTTCGTGTGATCATTAAAACTTGTGTAGTTTTGGTGCATCATGTGAAAAAAATTTGAACTGGTCAGAATTATGTCCAATCAATCTAATAGACAAAACGATTGTAGGATAGTAATTGCGAATCAGCAAGTAGGGGGCGGTAACTAAAGAGGGTGAATATTCTCTCTGTGCTCGATAATAGTTAGCATGGTTCTTTGCATATATTGGTTTTGGTACAACAGGTGAATATTCTCTGTGTGTCTGATGTAGTCTTTCCTTCTCAGGTAAACATTGGTGCTGATCATAGAGTTCTGGACGGAGCAGCTGTTGCAAGATTCTGTAATGAGTGGAAGCTATTTATTGAAAAACCAGAGCTGCTCATGTTGCATATGAGATGACTGATCGTTAACTCGACCAGCACCATTAGTGCCCGTCTCCATCCTCTGTAACTGCACATTCTCCGCTAAATCGACTTTTAGTTGATGATCTTTGTTTTCCATAGTGAATGGAGATGCAACCCTTAGGATATGGCAATACCAGCCTGGAATAAAATTTCTCTCTGCATGACCTATTGGGGTTTAAGTATTCTTGTTTCCCATGTGATGGGTTTGGAATTGTTGAGAAGCAAGAGCATTCAATCATGTTCTTGTAATCTGTTGTAACAAGCCTTGTAGACTGTTAGCAATAATAAAAAGTTTCAAGTTATGCTTTTGCCATTGTGCTGCCCAATCTTGAAATGTTTAACATAGTTTGAGTGGTTACGTTGTAGTTTGTGTTGTAATCATGAGTCTGAAAGGATTTGTGATTGGGACGATTGAGTATACAGTATACATGCTCTTTTGTTTTTCTTCTCGGCTTCAGTCCTTCGGTTACCATGACTACTTGGGCAAGCTAAACAAAATTTATGAAAAAAAATCTTTTTTTTTTTTTGATATATAAAATGATTAGTGAAATCAATGTTCGGTGTACTTTCAAAGGTTAAATCGAATTTTTAAACAGTAGCAATGTGTTACTTTTTGACCCAATGTGGGACATACGTTTGGTTAAAAAAATGGTAAACAAACCATTGAAAAAAAAAATAGGGCATAATAAGAGATTTTTAACTTTTTAAGGGGAAAAAATAAAAATTTAAAAACCTTTAGGGAATAGTGTGTAGTTTCGTGAACAAAAACCCTAGTCTTTCATTGAACCGAGCGGCCTCCATCGTATAAAAACACATCATCCTTCCCCTCACTCTTTCATCGACGCAGAGGCTGCTGAGAACCCACCACCAGGACCATCAACAATGGTGACTCCTCTGCCTCTGTTCCTCCGAACCCTAGCCTATACATATATGTGTGTGCGTGTGTATATGTATATATAGTTGCAATATCTGATCTAGATCACAATTTTTAACAATTCTAATCGCAGGGTATCGATTTAGTCGCCGGCGGCAAAAGAAAGAAAACCAAGCGCACTGCGCCAAGATCTGATGATATTTACCTCAAGCTCCTTGTCAAGGTCCTCTCTTCTCCGTATCCCTCTCACTGTGTATATGTGTGTGAAAGTACGCTTGGAAAATGGGTGTGTTTGTGATGCTTACAGTTTTATTATATTGGTGTGTGATTTCTGTTTTTAGCTATACCGATTTCTGGTTCGAAGAACCGGAAGCAAATTCAATGCGGTGATACTGAAGCGGCTCTTCATGAGCAAGATCAACAAGCCTCCGATGTCTCTCTCCAGGTTGATTCGATTTATGCAAGGAAAGGTATATTTTATATGAATTTATGCATTTATATGTATGCTACTGTGTTTTGTATGTATATGTGATTGTTTATGTGGTTGATTTTTCGTAGGAGGACAAGATAGCTGTGATTGTTGGGACTGTGACTGATGATATTAGGGCTTATGAGGTGCCGGCATTGAAAGTGACTGCTTTGAGGTTCACGGAGAGGGCGAGAGCCAGAATCGAGAAGGCAGGTGGAGAGTGTCTGACTTTTGATCAGTTGGCTCTCAGAGCTCCTCTTGGTCAGAACACGGTAGTGAAATTCAACTCCATTTTCAGATTCCAATTGTTTTGAGATATATAAATGGTTGGTTCATTCATGGTTTTAGTCTATTTAATTACTCATAAATGTCGTGTTCATGATGTTCTTTGAAGCATGCTTTTTTCATAGTTTGGAGCTTGCCCTCTTTCTTTTTAATCGAGTATTAAGGTACCATACAATGTATCCTAAAGTATTTTATATCACCCTTTAAATACTATAAAGTGCTGAATTCCTCTTATAAACTAAATTCAATTTTGTATCATGTTTATTTTTGAAATTGAATTAACCAAGATAACTTTTATTCACTGATTGAGAAAGTATTGTTCGATTAGAGCAATTGAATTTCCTTGCATCATGGCTGACATTTTACTCATGAACCTACTATAAAGATGGGAATTGGCTTAACATTCTGTTGGGTTAGCATGTGAACCTCCCCTCATTGTCGTTTATTTTTTCGTCTATATCTTGCAAAATGGTGATAAATTCTTCAATGCAAAGATGAAAAAATATTCAACTTAGTAACAATCATATGCATTATGCTTCCTATCTTTTAGTTAACTATGTTATGTGGTTGGTTTGGGGTGTTAAGGAAACGGTGTTTGGTCTAAGGGAAGATGTCAAATGGGCCAAGGTATTCGGTTGTTGGTTGGATAAAGTGCTGGGCCAGCCCAAGTGTAAAAGGTTAGGTCCATACCCAATTAACCAGGCTTCTTTGATAGGTCTATAGCAAGCTATCCTAATGATCAGTATTTGGTCTATGATCTAGTTTTGATTTGGCCTGGTTTAGTATGCTATGTGGTGCCTGGTCCTCCTCCCAGGTAGACTTTGGGTCAACCCCTGACCCATTGCGGAGAACTTGCATTCTCCCTGTGACCCTAGTGCTTGGCTTGGCCAAAGCTCACCATTTTGAAATTAGAACCCTTGGAATCCAACCCATTACAGTTTTGACCCTGAGAGTAAATAAGTGGGCTGCGAGTTGTCCCAACAGCTTAGCTAGTTGAGGTGGGACGGGCTGACTGGCAGGTTGTAGGGGCCATTCACGTATTGCCCACTGAGCCAAGGGCTGTCGAGAGCCTACCTAAGATAGTTGATTGGCCAAATCCAGGCAGGACTGTTGGGTGAATGCTGACTATTTGGTTTGTCTCTCCGCTTGGGGAAAGGCATAAAACCATATTCATCTACTAGGTGCCATGAACAACAAGTGTCTTAAATTCTACATAGGCATACCCCCAATTTTGCAGGGTTTTTTGCACATAATTGCATATGAGATCAAATAGCCCGACACCTAATATGTTAGGACAAGCTTTGTTGAGTTAAGTTGAGACCAAATAGATGAAAATGGTTCATTTCATATCATTGGGGTGGACAAGTGCAATTTGCATGCTCATTACCTCATTATATTATTTTATTATCTTTATCCAGTTGATTTGCCACCTACGCCTTTCATAACACTTTTCCTTTGGTCACATGGCAATAGATACAAAACAAAGAATCTGTTTTCGATCCTTTAAGAGAAGGAAAATGATAGGTTAGAAACCCCTTTGTGATAACCATTTGTACCCCCTAAAAGAAATAGTTACTAATAGATTACTGTCTTAATTTTCCCAAATTAAAACTATTTTTGTATTTGGCTTCTTTCTCATAGGTTAAGATGGAAACCCCACATTTTCCCAAACCTTTTCATTCCTTGCAGGACTCCTCTTTGATCATATATGTGGTGAACCTGTATTTGCAGTTAGTTGTATTTTCTGCTGATTACGAGAATCTCTGGTTGAGGAAATGCGGGTTAAGTAATAGTTTGGTGAAACAAAGGATTAGATAAGTTAACTAGTTGTTCTGTGCTTGCTGCAGATTTTACTCAGAGGTCCAAAGAATGCCCGTGAAGCAGTGAAACATTTTGGCAAAGCTCCTGGTGTGCCCCACAGCCACACCAAACCATATGTTCGGTCAAAGGGAAGGAAATTTGAGAGAGCCAGAGGAAAAAGGAACAGCAGAGGATTTAGGGTTTGAGTCTTTGTTTGTGTTGTTCTTGGTCTTTCTCCCACCAGCTAAACTAGTCAGTTTTGTGGGAGGCATAATCTACTATTAACCTAGACACTTCTGCTTTATTGTTTGTTTTCAAATCAACTCAAGTGTGAATTTTGAATTTCTGCTTCCCCCTTTCTTTATAGCTGCTGCGAAGTTTTGGGTTTGAATTTCTGCTTCCCCTTTCTTTATTAGCGTAGATCGCTCTATTTGTTATCTCGTATTCTATTCATCTATAGTCTTAGAAGGGCTTCCATATGTGATCCTATTTTGCTTTTTATGCCATTTGGAGGCAACTTTGAAGGCAGTTTGAAGGTATTCTCATTCTACAGAATGATTTTTCTGTGTGTTTTGGATGTGCCTACCAGACGTGTACATTATGATTCAAACTTGAGGTAGCTCAATTACACAATGATTCGAGTTAAGCAGTAGTGTTTCTCTTCATCAAATTTTAATATACCCGTGCAATATAATTAATTGACTTCAAAAGTCATCCAATATCAAGTTAGGATAAAACTCAGCCTTAAAATTGCCTTACAAGGAAATGGCGTTTAAGAACCTTTATATCTTGTGTTTAGCCTGTTTGAGACGCTTTAGGATTGTAAGTGGCATCACTGTTGCNGCCACCTACGCCTTTCATAACACTTTTCCTTTGGTCACATGGCAATAGATACAAAACAAAGAATCTGTTTTCGATCCTTTAAGAGAAGGAAAATGATAGGTTAGAAACCCCTTTGTGATAACCATTTGTACCCCCTAAAAGAAATAGTTACTAATAGATTACTGTCTTAATTTTCCCAAATTAAAACTATTTTTGTATTTGGCTTCTTTCTCATAGGTTAAGATGGAAACCCCACATTTTCCCAAACCTTTTCATTCCTTGCAGGACTCCTCTTTGATCATATATGTGGTGAACCTGTATTTGCAGTTAGTTGTATTTTCTGCTGATTACGAGAATCTCTGGTTGAGGAAATGCGGGTTAAGTAATAGTTTGGTGAAACAAAGGATTAGATAAGTTAACTAGTTGTTCTGTGCTTGCTGCAGATTTTACTCAGAGGTCCAAAGAATGCCCGTGAAGCAGTGAAACATTTTGGCAAAGCTCCTGGTGTGCCCCACAGCCACACCAAACCATATGTTCGGTCAAAGGGAAGGAAATTTGAGAGAGCCAGAGGAAAAAGGAACAGCAGAGGATTTAGGGTTTGAGTCTTTGTTTGTGTTGTTCTTGGTCTTTCTCCCACCAGCTAAACTAGTCAGTTTTGTGGGAGGCATAATCTACTATTAACCTAGACACTTCTGCTTTATTGTTTGTTTTCAAATCAACTCAAGTGTGAATTTTGAATTTCTGCTTCCCCCTTTCTTTATAGCTGCTGCGAAGTTTTGGGTTTGAATTTCTGCTTCCCCTTTCTTTATTAGCGTATATCGCTCTATTTGTTATCTCGTATTCTATTCATCTATAGTCTTAGAAGGGCTTCCATATGTGATCCTATTTTGCTTTTTATGCCATTTGGAGGCAACTTTGAAGGCAGTTTGAAGGTATTCTCATTCTACAGAATGATTTTTCTGTGTGTTTTGGGTGTGCCTACCAGACGTGTACATTATGATTCAAACTTGAGGTAGCTCAATTACACAATGATTCGAGTTAAGCAGTAGTGTTTCTCTTCATCAAATTTTAATATACCCGTGCAATATAATTAATTGACTTCAAAAGTCATCCAATATCAAGTTAGGATAAAACTCAGCCTTAAAATTGCCTTACAAGGAAATGGCGTTTAAGAACCTTTATATCTTGTGTTTGGCCTGTTTGAGACGCTTTAGGATTGTAAGTGGCATCACTGTTGCTGCAGCTAGTAGCTACGTTGGCTAACGCTATCATCACTATACCTCTCTCAGGATATGACATTTTTGGCATAAAGCCTAATAGCAATTTTGAACATGGCCTATAAGTCACCATTTTCTTCAGATGAATTGTAACACAAGGATGACTGTAATAGCGGATGAAACCAACTCATCGATGCAACTTACTTTTGAAAATTAACTTGAAAGAAAAAGGTATCTATATATATATATACCCACTGAACTTTTATTTCAACGAAACAAGACATTTGAAATCATAACATCATATAATTTAGAAGAATATATAGACCATGGTTGCTTTGGTTCGGTTCTTGTCGTTGGTAAGAACCGAAGCAACCATGACACCAAACAATGTTATAGACCATGAACCCACGACTGAAACACACTAATTAACAACAAACTGAAAACATGTTGCAATCACATTCTAAAGTATCGGCCAACTGCCATCGATATAATACCAATATGTCAATACACGATACGAAAAAAAACAATTCTAACAAGTATTTGTTCCGAATTGGTATAACTTGATGCAAATTGGATCCATCTCATTCAAGTCAGTTGATTTGCATCTGAGTCAAACTGATACACACAACAAATAAAATGGCAAAAAAAAAAAAGGTAAAAGAGAGAAGTAGAAAATTCATAATATGCTAAAAAGACACTACTTTCAATCAAAAGTCTCGCTTAAATGGATTGATGGGAGAAAACGAGATCGTAAATCTACCTTGCATAAACTTTGACCCTAATTGCAGAATTTTACATGCAATTGTGAACCCTAAATTAGATTAATAGTTGTGCTTTGATACTGACTGAAAGTAGGGAGATAGTGTTTTTGGAGAGATGAATAATACAAGACGCAAAGAGCATAATCGCTCCTTTTCACTCAATGTATCTATATGTATCCAAATATAACTAAAAGACATAAATACCCTTTACTACGTGTCTTTCTCTGGATTCTTACACATTTTGTTTTCGGATAGGGTTCTATGACACACAAGAAGATACTTGTTATCTCTACTTTGGTGCTACACTAGTCTGTTCGGGATTGTTACCCTTAGAGTATTGGCAACTTAAAAACAACCGTATTAGTCAATTTCTAGGAGTCAAAAACATTATCTTTTTGTGTGAGCTTTGGCAGCTTATGGATTTGCTCTTTACAAAAGCTTGCTCAAGCTACTGTTATATAATGACGAAATCTTGATAGCATTTTTGTTATGCAGGTTGTGCCAAATACAAGGAGCACAAGTCAGATAGGTGAGACCATTGATGGTGGTTTATACTAGATGTTTCAACAGGATTATCTTGTATAATTAATGGGGTTCGTGCAAGTCAGCCAACTTCACATGCATTTCATCGTGGATGTATTTAATTTGAAAGAAACTATTGACTTGTGTGTCTACTAACTTGTGCTCGTTCATCGAAACACATCAACACCTTGTATATTTGATTCTACAAAATTCTGTAGGAAAGTCGAATTATTACGAGTGTTGGTCAATGTAGTGTTGCTATACTTGTCCATATTGGTTTTGATTTTTATCTTGGAAACTTCACCTGGTGAAACATGTGAAGGTGTCCTCACCTTTATTTGACTCATTTACTTGATCTGGGGTGATGGAAAGCAATATTCCGTACCTCGTTGTGATGCAAGATAAGATCTTAACTAATTTATTTTCTCCTCTATTTTCTCGTAAAATCAGTTTCATGTCCAATCTTAGTTGTTTTGTTGTGTTTCATATATGTTTTGCAGCTTATGGGTGAAGGATTACCTTGCTGCCGGTCGCTACATGGATGGGATCATCAATACAATGCTAAAACATGGGTGAGCATGATGCCGGTTTTTCTAATGGTCAGCGCGTGCACCAATGCCTAAAACAAGTGGGAATTACTGTGGGAGACAATTTGATACCATATTCGCAGCAAGGCATCGAGACGTAAGTGAAATTTCGGAGTTGTAAACGTAGGAACTTTGTCAATTTATTGTGTATATACAACGATAATTTTATAGAGGAGCTACCATTTTGATAGTGTTGATAATTGAGGGCTAAGTTTGTAGGATCGACAAACTTGTAAATAATTTAGAGTTAGTTGGATTGATCTGACATATAGGTTAAACTGGATTCATCTATAAACTACCTTCTTATAAACCTCTAGGAACCTTCCAGCGATTAGTTCAATGTTTGCCCACATTACAATGGTGAAATTGTGGTTAAATCCATTATCAGATCTTGAACCCAGATCAAATTGAAGAATGCTTAAATCATCTGAGTGAAAAAAAATCCATGAAGATACATCAAATTATACTGCACATAGGGACCAAAAAAAGGGGGGAAATGACAATTTTTTTTCCGAGTGGTAGCTTGACAACCTGACGAGTGTCTTCACAGGCGTAGATCACAAGTTCGAATATCTCAAAAAACATTTGCCCTTTTATGGTCACCGTCTATAGATAATATAATCACATATTAATGATGAGTTTTAAGAAAAAAATAGTTTTTTTATTTTTGATTTTATTTCAATAAATGACATAATAGAACTTCAATTTTGGTTGTAAAATTTATGTTCTATTGTGAATGATTTAGAACACTTATTTGATTTTTTTTAGTTTTATTCTAATAGATAATATAATTGTATATTAATTATAATTTTTTAAGAAAAAATTGAATTTTTTATTTTTGATTTTATATTAATAAATGATACAATAAAATATAAATTTTGGTTGTAAAATTTAAAATATTTAATATTTTATCTAAAATTAGAGTATTTTTAGTTTAAATATAATATTTTAATTTAAGGGGTCTAAATATTATATGTCTATAAACTTTAGGGAATCTAGGTATAATTTATTAATGGACATTGACTACAAGAATTTAAGTATTACGCGTGTATAAATTTTAATATTTTAAATGTCAAGAAATTTAAGTGGATAAACGGCAAATTTTAAAATTTCTAAGTATAATTCTCTATATCATTTTATGATTACAGCCCACTAGTCAAAAAAGCTCAAAATCGATCACAGTGGCCCATTTCCGTCCCATTATGAAGCGGAGCCCATCTCGCCCACTCTCTCTCTCTCGGCCATAACCGCCATTTTCTCTCCAGTATATCAATTCAAACTCCTACCGCCATTTTCTGCACACTGAAAATTTCTTTCGCCATCAAAATTTTGCCTCTGAAGCTCTCTATTTTCTCAACTATGATGACTCTAAAGCTCGTATACACCACTCACACTCTACTTTTCACCGCCTCTCTCTTCCCACCCTTTAGTATTCCACTTGCAAAATCAGGTATTTTAATTACCCATTTCTCACATTTGCATAAATATATACTTCCATGACCACACACACACACGCTTTGTATTTGATGGATTAAGTGGTATCCTTTGATCTAGCAGAAGGTGTACCAATGCCCGGTTTGGCTTTCAGTTGGTTGGACAATAATGACACATTCATGGCCGGGGATATAGCAACTATAAAGGTTAAAGTACTGGGAAATTTCGAGGCTCACAAGTACAAATATCCTTTTAATCCTAACATCACAGTGAGTGAAAAGATGGGAAATAGTTCTTATATTTCTGGAGTTTCTTCACATTTTGATGTTGATGTTGATGTTGACAATTGGAGGATTTCTTTCGTTCCTATTATGGTTGGGTTGTTCAATGTGCTTATCACCGATGACCATTTTAAAGTTCTAGATTCCTCGTTGCATTTCCGGGTTACACCAGGTTTGATTCTTATTGGAGTTATTGATGTCAAATCTCTGTTTTGTTGTGGATTTTAAGGGGCCCTTTGCAAAATCAGAAATAAGTTTGGGGGCTGACTCTTCATGTTTGATAAGGACAATTGGCAGATAACCCCCCCCCCCCCCCCCCCTCT